TCCGTTTTGCAGGAGTGTCCATAACAGGAGGTTTAACTGTATATATATATATTAGATTTATATATTAGATTTATAAAATATTATTTTGACTGCCACAACATCTAAAAAAATTAAAGTGAACAAATACGTGATGAACAAACAATAGTGTGTTTGAGCCCTTGTAAAATAAAATATATTTAACTGCTTACGATTATAATACAATTGTAATTTCACTATCACTGGGGATAAATCATACTAAAGAGTATGAGTTGACAGATATTTATAAATATATTTGTTGTTGTTGTTGTTGTTACTTATCCTCTAATTGTCTGACGAGGTCAGACAAGATCCAGTAGTTTGTTGTTGACCCTCAAAAAGTCGATTACAAGAAGTGGAGAAGCATATAAGTCCTCCTTGGAAAAATATATTTGTATTTATAATAGTGTCATAAATATATATAATATTTATGACACTATTATAAATGCAAAGCAGTTTTGACTAATTTCAAGGCATCTTTTCATCATCAAAGTAAAAATAAAATCGAAATGTGAATTAGAAAGGAAACTAGCTTATAAAATTATAATATACTCTATTTATAAACTATACAAATAATTTTAAATTGCATGCGCAAAAATGTAAAATTCTAATTGGCTTGCGGCACCTGCCATTCCGGGGATACTGCATCGTATCAAAAATACGCAGTAAAAATTTCAAATCTTAGAACAAAATTTGAAACAAGGTTTAAATATTTCAATTCTTTGAAAGACAAATTTTGTTTGTTTTCTTCGATTTTCTCAATAAATATAGGCTCAGTACCCAGTAATATGCAAATGGAAGTGATTGAGATTCAGTGCCATTCAAATTTGAAGGCAAAATTCATTGAAATGGGTATGCCTGAATTTTAAAAATATTTACCGGCAAGGTTTGAAAAAACTCGAAAATTCGCATATAAAATTTTTTCCATGTTTGGAAGTACTTATCAGTGCGAGCACTTATTTTCTGTTATGAATGGAAACAAATCTCCTGTCCGAAACCGTATTAATAACGCTCACGTTGGGACAATTTTGAAAGTAATCTCGGCCAATAAAATTTCTCCCGAAATAGGAAAGATAGTAGCAGAGAAGAGAGGTCAAGTATAAAGCAATAATTTAACTTTATATAATTTTATTACAATGTACTATTCAAAATTAAAATATTTCTTTCTATGAACAATTTTTTTTAATTATTTTTTTGCGGCCCACCTAAAGTTAAGCATTGTTTATTTGGCCCAAGTTAGCTTTTGAGTTTGACACCCCTGTATTAAACAATATACATTATACATCCATTTTCTTATCTACTTTGTTTAAAGTTTTTCTTTATCATTTCTTTTTTAACTACGTTTTGATGACCTTTTTCCTTTCTCTATTTTTGTTCTATAAAGCATAAATTGATGGAAATAGTTTCACTAGATTAGCCATAGATTGGCTTCAACGAGGATCTGTCTTTCTCGAGGAGCAGACGTATGGAATCTACTATAGGTGAATTTCACTTCTCTTGTGGCAGACTCCGCATTTTAAGCTCCAACGAGTGGATTTTTTTGTCGGCGCGAGTTCTAACATTTATTGGGTATGGAAAAATTGCACATATATGTTATTGTAAATAATAGTGAAATTATTAAATTTATAAAATGGCTAGTGCTTTTTTGACTAATCACTTATTTGTAAACTTTTTTTAACCCCAAAAAAGCTACTAAAAACCGCAAAATTGATTTAGAGTGCCATGCGTTCAATGATGAATGGGCTTGGACAGATCTTCTTTGTCATATGAACAACTTGAATGTTAAGATGCAAGGGAAAAATCATTTCATCAATGATATCTGGACTAGGACTGGGCTATAAATCGATGTATCGCGACATATCACTTTAACGCCTATATCGGCAGGCCGATACAGCGACTTTCGTTCCAGGGGATGCATCAGAAATCTGATTTAAGCCGTCGAGTGAAGAAGACGAACAATATAGCGATACAAGACACGCAAGGATCTCTTACGTTCCGATGCCAACTTGCGCTGGGGAAGACGATGTTCGTATCGTTATATTGAAACGGCCTTGATTGATGAGCGGTAGAATCAGATTTGAGAACATATATCGTGATCTTGCATGTTCGTTTTCGCACCTCTTAGTTTTTTTTTTCTTCTTTGTCGCGACTTGATATCGTTTCTTGTTGTAGATTATTTTCGACGAAGGGAACTGACTTGGTGATCGCCGTCGTTACCTTGTTCTGCACATAATCTATTATTGAAAAGATCATATAAAGAAGTGTTTCTTAATTAATTAGGTTTTTTTTTTTAAACAAAACTTTCTTTTAATTTTTAAATGTGAAAATTAATTTTAATATTATATGTTTAAGTATTATTTTACATTATTGAATTTATTACAAACGGAAATCTAATTTAAGGTGCCCATAAAGAATTAAATTAAAAAGTAATTAAATTTGTTAGGCTATTTTTTACTTTATTTTAATTTATTAAAAGTTTTTTGGATAAAATAATAATTTAATGGGTTTTTATTACTGATTTTAAATTTATAAATCTTTAGTTGTTTTCATTTTTATAAATAAAATTATAACAAAACTTATTTTTCCTCTTTTGGATTTGGACATAAGTCAATCAACTCTGTTTATTCAAAAAAATTAGTAATGTTTGCGATTGCGACTTCTTTTTTTAAAATCATTTAGCACTTCGTTTTATTAAAGAGTATAATC